GACCCAGGCAGCAATTACATATCTTGAAAACCCCGGAGTTTGCCCTTCCGGGCGGCCAGCAGGCCAAGCCTGGCACCACTTGGTGCACTGGCCGCCCTGGGGGAGGCCGAGGACTCGTTCACTGCCTTGTGGCAGTGTCTTTGGCGTGAGTCCCCCGCATTGGGTCCGACCCGGCAGGGGCACCCCCCACAGTCGCCACACTGCAGGGAGCGTCAGTTGCCCCCAAGCCCAAGGACCGAACTCCTCCCAAACTCCCCCAGCCGCATGGTCTTAGCAGCTGGGCGGAGCTAGGAATTTCCACCCAGTTCCCAAGTTCCCTCATGGCGGACTTACCCTGAGGGAAGAGCTCTCTTGGGTCCTGGGGGAGGCCGAGGACTCGTTCACTGCCTTGTGGCAGTGTCTTTGGCGTGAGTCCCCCGCATTGGGTCCGACCCGGCAGGGGCACCCCCCACAGTCGCCACACTGCAGGGAGCGTCAGTTGCCCCCAAGCCCAAGGACCGAACTCGGGATTGTCCAATTTCACATAAATGTATGGAAGAACCAAAAAACTCATTAGAGAATATTTTGAGTGTATTGAGATAGAAGAGGAGATAGTCTGATTCACAGTGTTATGCAGCTTTATTATAATATCACAGTCTGTCTTACATTATGTTGTGGTTTTTTTCTCTTTTCTCTGCTAGATTGCTAGTTAACAGAAAACAGAGATCATGGTTTTGTCTCAAGTACTTTGCTAGCTGGCTTAAGTTATTTTAACGTAGGCTGGTTACCTCTTTTTTTTTAATTTTAATTTTTTATTACATTGCATCATGAGACACAGTTTTACAGGCACTTGGATTCCCCCCTCCCCTCCCAAAACCCGCTCCCCCCCCATGGTGGATTCTTCCATCTTGTTTCATTAGCACAGATAAAATTCAGTTGAGATTTTTTTTTCCTTGCAAGCATCTACAGGCTGGTTACCTCTTAATTAAAAAGTTATTATTCTCATTTAAAGTCAGAGAAACCAAAAGCTTGCATTCACTCTCCAAATGCCCGCAACAGCCGGGGCTGGGCCAGGCTAAAGCCAGGAGCCAGGAACTCTGTGTCTCCTGTGTGGGTGGCTGGGACCAAAGCACCTGAGCTATCTGCTGCCTTCGAGGCTGTGTTTTGGCAGGACGCTGAATCCAAAGTGCAGGAGCTGGGTCTTAAACCAGGGCACTTACGCAGGACGTGGATATCTCAAGCCTTGACCTCAGCACTGTGCCAAAACCTGACAGATTTTGCATAAGGGAAGTGCTCAGTAAATACTGGAATGAAGTTGAACCATGCCTTGTGGAACCTTGTTTTTGAAGAAGCTTGAATACACCAAGTGTCCTGGCAGTTCTTCTCTAAGCAGACTGCGCAGCTTCAGGGGGCTTGGTGATTGAGTTACTGAGAAGCCAGTATTCGTTCTCCATCTCTAAGGTACTTTTGGTTATGGAATCTGTTAGGCAAAATAAAAGGTGTATGCATAGTAGCAGTAGGAGTCTTTCCAGTAGCCAAAGAAATGCTAAGAGGAGTTTTGTGTTGCCAAGGTAGAAGTAGCACCAGTTTTCTTTTCTGCCCCTGGCTGTGCTGCTTTCTAACTTTGTGACTTTGGAAAAGTAACTTATGTCTTTGAGCCGCAAATTTATCATTTACATTATGAAGATAATGAGTTTTAAGGCTAGTGCCACCTCTGATCTGAAGATGGGAAATTTATTTTACCCGAGGCTTGAATTCAGTTGAGATAATTACTGATTTTTCTCCCCTGAGCCGTTTGACTAATTATTTTTGGAACACCAGGCAGACTGTATGATCATCTATGGCAGGTGCTATCCTGTTAATTTCGACTCTGACTGCGCCCTAGGAGACACAATGATACAAACAGCTGGTCCTGGAAATAGGCAGGAGTGCTTTTTCCTAATAGTTGAGTGCATCCATTCTCAAGTACATTAATCTTTCCTTTTGGGAGAGGCCAAATTAAGGTGTGTTGTATTACCTCTGAAACCGTAATGTTACACTGGAGCTTCAAGATTGAAGTGAGGTCATTTTAATTTAAAGCAGCAAGGTGATTTGGACTCCAACTTCCAGATGTTATTTCAAAGTTGGTTAGATCGTTATACTCTTTCATGATATTACCCATTGTGAGATTCCTCAGCCCCTTCTCTAAAAACTTGAAACAAAAGCTGAAGTGCATTCATTTTAGTGCAGAAATAAGCAATTTGTTTTTACTTAGTTTTAACTTCCTTTCTTTTAGCTCTCTCTCTCTTTTTAAAAATCAATTGAAAGACAGAACAAGAGACATGCAGGCAACAAGAGAGCATGTGCACTTCCATCCACTGGCTTGTTCCCGAATGCTCACAGGGCTAGGGTCAGCTGGGAGCTGGAAATCCAGTCTAGATCTCCAGTGTGGCTGGAAGGATTGCTACTCCTCCCAGTGTCTGTTTTTTTTTTTTTTTTTTTTTTAAGATTTCTTTACTTTTATTGTAAAGTCAGATATACAGAGAGAAGGAGAGACAGAGAGGAAGATCTTCCATCCGATGGTTCACTCCCCAAGCGGCGGCAATGGCTGGAGCTGAGCCAATCTGAAGCCAGGAGCTCTTCTGGGTCTCCCATGCGGGTGCAGGGTCCCAAGGCTTTGGACCATCCTCTTCTGCTTTCCCAGGCCACAAGCGGGGAGCTGGATGGGAAGTGGAGCTGCTGGGATTAGAACCAGCACCCATATGGGATTCCAGTGCATACAAGGTGAGGACTTTAGCCACTATGCTATCATGCTGGGCGAGTGTCTGTGTTAATAAGAAGCTGTAGCCACGATCTAGAGTGGCAGATCAAACCTGGGTACTCTGATGTGAGATGTGGGTATCTTGCCTGGCATCTTGACTGCTAGGTGTCTGCTCATACTTTCACTTTAAGTAAAAATGAAAAATTTACCTTCTCAGCTCTGGCTGTTGAAACTGCTTGGGGAGTGAAAGAATGGGTGGAAGATATATTTAAAATTTTTATTTATTTACCTGAAAGGCAGATTTATTGAGAGGAGTGACAGATCTCCCTTCTGTTGTTTCACTCCCCAAATGGCTGCATTAGCAGGTGCTTGGCTGTTCTGAAGCTATGAGCCAGGAGTTTCTTCAAGGTTTCCCATGTGGGTGCAGGAACCTGTGGACTTGGGCCATCGTCTGCTACTTTCCCAGGCAATAAACAAGGAACTGGTTGGGAAGTGGAGCGTGTGGGACATGAACTGGCACCCATATTTATACCCAGGGCCAGCACTGTGGTTCCACAAGCTAATCCTTCACCTGTTAGTGTATCGACATCCAACATAGGGATGAACACATATTTTAAAATATGTCTTCCTGGTTTAATTACTTGTCTCTATTTCTATTTATTCATTGAATTTTTTGGAAAGGCAGAGAAAGATAGAGGTTTCTAATCCCTGTGTCCCTGTGGGAAATTTAGATGAAGCTCCTAGCTTTGGCCTGACTGACTGGGTTACTGCAACCAGTATTTGGGGATGAACCAGCAGGTGCAATATCTAACAAACTTATGATCTAATTTGATTTGAATTGTAGAAACAAGGGCTTTAAATTTTTTTTTTATTTTCACTTTTAATATTGTTTGCATAATTGAGAGGGATGCATGGCCATATGGGCTTCTGATTAGAGTGGCTTGGATCAGGTGATGGACCAAAGCTGATCCTACAATAGCTGGAGGAAGGTGGGTGGGACAAATGTTTCAGGGTTTTTTTTTCCCCTCTATGTCCCCAGGGGAGGTAGGGTTGGTCTGCTTGTTCATGTCAAACTACATAAGCACTTGGCAGTGGGGGAACAGTCATTTGATGATGCCTAAGAGACTCTGATGTGGGGAGGAATGTTCTGAGGATATTACTTGAGTGATTTTGATTGTTTTGTGAACTTGTTGGTGTCATTGCTCTAGGGGTGAGAAAATCTTTCCAACATTTGTTGGTTGACAGAGTCCATCTTAGTGCATCCACAGACCCAGGAACATGCTACACAGCTTGACCAGGAACATTGTCCAAACTGTTCTTATTTCCACACCCTAACGAGGCAGCCAGTGTTCCCTGCTGGTCTAGATGAGCTAGCCATCATGTCCCCCGTATGCATCTGGGCTTACTGTCCACTGCACCAAGTATCAACAACTGAGGAGGTTCAATCACTTGTACTCCAAGATTGGACTACACATCCTGTGATTTTCCCTGTGGCCAGGGTCTGAGTCAGTGATCTAGTATGGAGTCTCCCAAGAAATTTTGTCTGACCTGATCTTAGATTTTACTTTTGTGTGTGCCAGCTATTGTAGGATCATGTTTGGGCCGTCACCTGCACCAGCCACCACACATAGCGGTGGATGCATTTGCTTGCTCAGTTTTGCCCCAATCCCATCTCCTCATGTGAACTGATGGGTGCTGCAGCCCAGCCCAACCTGCCCCAATAACCCCCGTCAGGCCTGCCCTGGCCCTGATTTTTGTCTATGCCAGGCTCTGCTGCAGCCTCATCTGTTCTGTACAGCATCCCATCCAACACTTGTGCACACCCGAGGGAGCTGCAGCTTAGCTCAGCCTGCCCCACCCCCAGGCCTGGTCCTCATGTTTGCCGACAGGTGCTGTCGCCTATGTGATCTGTCCCAAGCTATCAGTTCTCAGTAATGAAATGAATGATCTCAGCCTTTGCTAATATAAAATGTAACTTTATTACTTGATTTTTTTACTGTTCATTTTGTTAATAAAATTTGTTTAGTGATTTCAGTAGATGTAGCAATGCTTTGGCCTTTCTTTTTTCACCATCATCCCATGTATTGCACTCTATTGTTGCCACAGTTTTTACTGTGTATGTAGCTGGTTATCAGTCTGAACTTCAAAGCAGCACACAGAATATTTGACATCACTTCTAGGCAGTTGTATACTAAATCCCTTGTGCAGATTCAGGGAGAGTAGATTTAGTTCTGCAGAGGAAAGTGTATTATTGATTTTTCCTTTTCTTTTGTCTTTATAGGTTGCTATGGTAACAGACTATGGAGCCTTTATCAAAATCCCAGGCTGTCGGAAGCAAGGTGGGAGCCTATAACTTGGATTTCAGCCCTCCCATTTGCTTTCTGCGCTGTAACCCCTGCCACATCCTAAGTACCTGTTGAACCTTCTTTAGAAAGTAGTGATTTTCATTGTTGTTCATGGGGTAAATACCAACAAGAATTGACAATCCATTTTTAGAGCTCTTAATTCAAGAGTGATGCTCTCTGAGTTTTGGATAGGCTAGAGTATATCTGAATGTGAGTTCATTTCTGGAACCAAATCCTCCCTAGAATAGCTCTCACCTGAGTTACAGAACCTGGAGTTAGAGTAGAAACAGTATTATAATTGATACAAATATTGTGTAAAAATACTGCACATTTTCTTTATAAGTAAACATCTATTAAATATTTTTAGACAACACATTTCATGTCTTTAATCTTGTTTTTCACACTTCTTTCAGATTGACACGTCTTTAAAAAAAACTACTATTAATATTTAGTGTGGAAATCTATACTTTCACTCTTAAGAGCATAAATTATCACAGGTTTTGGTTTGAGTCCTGGCTACCCTGCTTTTGATCCAGCTGTCTGCTAAAGGCCTAGAAAAACAGTAGGAGATGGTGCTAGCCCTTGGCCCCTGCACCCATGTGGGAGACCCTGAATAGCTCCTGGCTCCCAGCTGTGGACCAGCTGGCCATTGTGCCCATTTGAGAAGTGAGCCAGCAGTTGGAAGATCTGTGTCCCTACCTCTCTCATATTCTTTCAAGTAAATTAAATAAATATTGGAAGGAAGAAAAAACACAAAAAAACAGAATGTAAATTGTCACAGACTTTGGTAATGACTTATTTGGTAGTGTGTTTTTCATTTATTCGCTAATTTTTTACTTATTTGAGAGAACAAGAGAGACATGCATACAAAGAAAGTCCCATCTGCTTGTTTACCCCCACTGGCCATAATGGCAGGGCTGGTGCCATGGTATAGTGAGTTAAGCCTCTACCTATGGTGCTGGCATTTCATTTGGTGCCAATTTCAGTCCCAGCTGCTCCATTCCAGTCCAGTTCCCTGTTATTGAGTCTGGGAAAACAGCAGCAAATTGCATCAGTCCTTGATCCCTTTCACCCATGTGGGAGACCCAGAATGAGTTCAGGTTCCTGGTTTCAGATCTGCCCAGCTCTGGTTATTGTGCCCATTTGGGGGATTGAACAAGGTGTTTCTGACTCTGCAAATCTGCCTTTCAGTTAAAAAGAAATCTTACCAAAAAAAAAAAAAAATCATGATGGCCATAACTGAGTGCAAAGCTGGGAGTTATGAACTCAATCGAGTTCTCCCACATTGGTGCTTCCCCAAGTTTGCATTAGCAGAAAAACGGAATTAGCGGAGTTAGGTTTTGAACCCAGGCACCCTGGATAAGGGGTGTGGGTGGTTTGGCTACTAGACCAGATATTCACTACTGCTTTTTTAGAGTCAGAACTTTTTGGGGAAAAGTGTGAGAACTGCTGCTTACTGGCTTACTTCTTAGATGGCTAGTACTAGGCCAGGCCAAATCCAGGAGCCGGAAACTCAACCTGTTCTCCTACTTGCATGACAAGCACCCAGTCACTTGAGCCATCATTGCTGGCGCCAAAGGTAACACATTCTGATCTGGGACACAGACATCTTTTTTTTTTTTTAAGACTTATTATTTATTTTTATTGGAAAGGCAGATATCCAGAGAGAAAGAGAGACAGAGAGCATGATCTTGCATCCAATGATTCACTCCCCAAGCGACCACAATAGCTGGTGCTGTGCCGATCCGGAGCCAGGAGCCAGGAACTTTGTCTGGATCTCCCACACAGGTGTAGGGTCTCAAGGCTTTGGGCCGTCCTTGACTGCTTTCCCAGGCCACAAGCAGAGAGTTGGATGGGAAGCAGGGCTGCCGGGATTAGAACCGGCACCCATATGGGATCCCAGCGTGTTCAAGGCGAGGACTTTAACCACTAGGCCACCATGTTGGGCCCGATACAGGCATCTTAACTACTAGACTGAATGCCTGTCTTATTTGTCTGTTTTATTTGAGAGGTAAGAGAAAGCAAACAACTAATCTTTGGGTAATGAAACCATTCCTCTAATCTGGCATACTTCTAAGCTGCAGGTTGATCTTAGAAATGGCTTACTAGTAGATTTCAAGCTGATAGCCATCTGCAGTTAAGTTTCTCCGTTTATGTTGACTGGGATTTAATAAGGTGAACTTCCCTACACCCATAAGGCACATACCTCTTTGTGTATGAAGACAGATTTTCTTGTTAGCGTATTTGCCATGGCTGCCAGTGCTTGAAAGTTCCATTTTTACCTGAGCGTTTGTGTGACACTTTGGGGGGATGGTGTGGGGATTAAGAGCTGCTACCTTCTGGCAATTTGTCTTCAACCCGGTTGTGTCTGTACTCCATGAGGTAATGTCTGTGATTGTGGTTGACAGCTTACAAGTGAATCTGTCAGTGTGACAGCTGTTCTTAGACAAGCCTCAGAGGACAAGCTCGGGGAGCCAAGTAATTAGGTGGACTGTGAGTTCTAATCTTGGGATTTCCTGCAGGTTTATTGGATAACTTGAGCAACAGACTTCATTATGATGTACCTTATCTCCTGTGCCCATAAAGGGGGAAGACAATTAAGGTCCCATCCTGAAAACACTGAGCTATGAAATAACTCAGGTCTGGTCATGTCTTAGTATCTTTGATAAGGAAAATAGACTCTATAAGTTGAGTAAATAAATAAAAATTTCAAGTCATTCCCCAAGGCTTCTATTCTCAGAGTTCTCTGAAGCACTTTTGAGCTGAAGACCCACTTTTGTATTCAGATTTAAACTAGACTTTTGGCCAGGCAGGTAAGCTTCTGGTTTAGATACCTGCAGCACTTGGATTTGATTCCTGGTTTTGGCGCCCAGGTCTGCTAATACAGACTGAGAGGCAGTGACAGCGGCTGAGTAACTCTTCCTTCCGCTCTCCTGGTAGGCCGAGTTAGCTTTCAAACTTCCATCTTTGCCCTGGCCCATCCCTAGCCTTTACAGGCATTCAAATAGTCAATCGGCAAATATTAGCTGTAATTGTTTCTCATACAAAACAAAAATTTTTAAAGATTTATTTATTTTATTGGAAACTCAGAGTTACAGAGATAAGGAGAAACAGAAAGACCTTCCATCTGCTGGCCACAATGGCTGGAGCTGAGCCGATCCAGAGCCAGGAGCTTCTTTCAGGTCTGCCACGCAGGTGCAGGGTCCCAAGGCTTTGGGTTGTCCTCTATTGCCTTCCCAGATACCAGTTATTAGATACCAGTTGCATGTACTGGTCCATCTGCATTTCTGATCAGCCAGCTGTATACTGAAGGTCCCTGTACCTTCTTTGTGAAGCTAGATAATTTGCTAAAAGGACTCATAACTCAGAGAAAAATGCTTTACTTACCTTTGCAGCTTTATTATAAATGTTACAATTCAATAGCAGTCAAATAATGGAAGTAAGGTGGGGAGTATTTGTGTTCTCTGCGAAGTCGCTGGCATTTTTTTGTCTTTTATAGCAGCATCTGCGGGCTTCAACTGGTTTGGAGGAGCTGATCAACTCAGCCTTTGTGTGCACTTGGCGTGCACAGGAGTCAGCACAGCATGCACTGTGTGTTCCATGCCAGGACACACAGCCCAACCTCTGGTTCCTGATACCAGAGAGCCTGTTGCTTCTGGGACCAACAGGACATGAAAGCCCTGTTTCTTGGTGATCCTCTCTGTGGGGATTCTCCCTCAGGTCTCTGGCCTCAGGTCCTTGGCCTGGCAAGGGTGCAGCTGTCTAGTACCTATCAAATCTGCCCTGCTTTTCCAAAGCCAGCACAGGTATCATGCTGCAGGCATGGCCTGCCTAAGACCTATCAGGTATCTGGCCTGCAGAAGGCCATCAGTGTCCCCCCCGCCACTCCCTTCTACTCCCATGCCTGTCGCCAGCCGCCCAGCAGCGGTGACACTAAAACTATGAGTCTCGTTCTTGAGGGTGCAGGAAAAGCCGGAACCGGACCCCTCACTGCCAAAAGTGGCTGTGTTTAAAGCCTTATCTCTGCTGCTCCTGTCCCCATGGGCCTTAGCTTTCCTCCCCGCTTCTTTGGCCATCTTTCCGCCATGCTTCCTCTCGTTCTTCTCGTACTTTCCCTGTCTCCTTTCCGCCACCCTTCTTCCCGGCCCCCCCCCCAGTCTTTCTCATCCGTCTTTGTCTATCTGTCTGTCTGTCTGTCCATTGTCTGTTGCAGTTGTCCTGTCGTCTGTCTGTCCGTCATCGGTCCGTCTATCGTCTATCCTAGTCCGTCGTCATCTGTCGTTGTCCTTTCCCCAGTCCTTCTCCTCATCACCCCCCAGTCCGTCTCCTTGTCGCCCCCCAGTCCTCTGTCGTCCGCCCGTCCATTGACTAGCTTTTACTGGCTACTTTTATATTGTTCTCCACCAATCACTTCTCCCTGTGGGCCCTTTGGCGCTACGTAATAGGCCAGTAATCGCAGCAGGGACATTAGCCTATCCCTGTGACTTCCTGTCTACCTGCTGGCGAGACCAGCTCCACCTCCTGGCCCTGGGCCAGCCGCCATCTTGCAACGGCCCCTTTCAATCCCAGGAATGGCTTTAGCACCCTGTTCCCCACACATGCTATACCTCCAAACAATACCCTGGCCACGCTCAGTGGTGTGCTATGAGTGTGTCACAAGCCTAGAACCCCCTACATCAGGCTCCTGGTCTGCCACTCCAGGCCAGCAGTTTAATTCACCAGGAATATGCCCTGCCTAGACCCCTGAGGTCCCCAGCTTGCCTGCTCCCAGACTGGCACTTTGGTGTCCTGCAGATGTGGCCTGCCTGCGACTTTCAGGGCCCTTGCCCTACCTGCTTTCAGATCATTGCATTGGTCCCCATGGGTTCAATCTGTCTGCTGACCCTTAGAATTGTGCAAACATGATTATGTATTATGAAAACATGATTCTGTAATCTACAATATAAAAGATGTGAAAGCACTTGAATTTATAGCACCTGTTGTCAAATATCATT